ATGGTGAGGTAGGAACTGTGGAGGAGCAAAGGGATTTAGGTGTCCATGTACAAAAATCGCTAAAAAACAGTCATAGGTAGAAAAAGTAATTAAAAAGGATAATAGAATGTTAGCCTCTATCTCAAGGGAGCTGTAATCAGAGCTGAGAAAATGATGCTTCAGTTGAGCAGAGCCTTGTGGGGTCCTGTAATGTAATGGTTTGAGCACTCACCTCGCATGGGAGAGGACCTGGGTTTGATTCCGGGGCGGGGCGAAACCTTAGGCAAGTTTCCTTACTCCACATGCCTCTGTTTCCCTAGTAGTAAATAGGAACCCGGTTGTTCGTCCATTGAGGATCGCTTTTCCAAGGTTAATAATCGCTGCAAAAACGTATTAAATTTTTTTTTTGTCTGTTTCTGACTCCATGGCTTTTTTTGAGCCATTGCTGTGTGCAATTAGCTGCTGCGTTGCGCTCACAAAATATACAGTCACTCCACTTTACAGTATATTCCATGAAGCACTTGGAGATGTTTCGAAGACGTGATAAGGTGCTGTATCAAATTCAAGGATTATTATTATTGGTCAGACCCCATCTGGAGACTGCGTTCAGTTTCGGGCACTGCACCTCAGGAAGAATATATTGGCTCTGGAGGGGGTGCAGCAAAGATTATGATACCAGGGCTAAAAGGGTTAAATTACAAGGACAGGTTGCATAAACTTGGTCTCTATTCCCTTGAGTTTAGAAGATTCAGGGTGATCTGATTGAGGTGTTTCACATGATAAAAGGATTCGATCGGGTGGGTACAGAGAAACTATTTTCTCTGGTTGAGGAATCGAGAACAACAATAATAATAATAATCCTTCCATTTGATATAGGACTTTTCACGTCTTCTAGACGTCTCAAAGCACTTCACAGAATAGACTGTAAAGTGAATTGACTGTATATTTGTGGATGAAACGTGGCAGCCAATTGCGCACAACAGCGTCCCACAAACAGTCGTGGATTGGAATGACCAATTTATTATTGTTTTTTTTTGAGGGATTATTATCATGCGTTATTATTAAGGAAACTTGCCCAAGGTTTCACCCCTCCGGGAATCAAAACCAGGTCTCTCGCTTGCAAAGCCAGTGCTCTAACCACTGAGCTACAGGAACAAAGGGGCATCAGCAGGATGGAGGGTAGGGGCAGAGTGGCAGAACGCCCGCCTGCCAATGGTGGGAGGGGGGCGAGGTGGGGATGTGATGCAGGCTGGAGCCCTCTGAGAGGAGGGTGCGGGCAGGATGATAGGAGCTTAGGAGGTCGCAGAGGTAGAGTGGAGCAAGGCCATGGAGGGCTTTGAAGGTGAGGACCAGGTTGAGGTACAGATCAGCCATGATATAATAGAATGGTAGAACAGGCTTGAGGTGCTGAATGGCCTCCTCCTGTTCCTATGTTGTAATTACTTGGGATAGCCACATCAATAACACTACATGTGCAGTCTATTTCATTCTTTACTATAATATCTGGTCTGTTGCAATTTTATCTGGGGAAATTGTCATGTCACTTATGAGGGATGATACAAAATCATTATTATTATTATTATTTTTAATAGATATTTATTATAATTAAAAATGATATTATCATTGATAGCTTGTATTATTATTAATGATAGCTTTATTGTTATTAATAATAGCCTTTTTATCATCATTATTATGATGATGATTCAATCTCCTCTGCCATGGTACAACTCACCTTTACACAACTTTTACCTATTCAAGGGTTAGTCCTTAATGTGGACTAATCCTTGCTTGAAGGATAGCTTGACAAGTGATGTTGATCACTTCTTTAGTGCAGCTTCAGGAACAGTAAAACAGTAAATCCCTACTGATAGAGGTCACAGGATCCCAATTTTATGTTTTATATACAATCCAATATTAAAATGTTTTTCATACGGAAACTCCACTTTGTCTGCCCACATCAGCAATCCTTTAATTTGATCAAGTAATAATAATAATCATCCTTACATTTGATGTAGCACTGTCTCAGCATTGGAAGGGCATCTCAAAGGCTTCACAGGATTCACTGTGAAGGGCAGTGACTGTATATTTTGTAGGTGAACACGGCAGCCAATTTGAACACCGCAATGTCCCACAAACAGCACAAAGTGAATGACCAATTTTATCTGGGGAACTGTTGGCCAGGACACTGGGAGAGAGAGAGAAACTTCCAACTCTTTTTGAATAGTAACTCTTTACGCTTTTGCACAGGAATTTGCTAGCGGAACAGGCTTCAGGGGCTGAATGGTGTGCTCCTGTTCCCATGTTCCTATGTTGTAATCACTTGGGATAGCCACATAAATAACATTACACATATACAGTCTATTTGATTTTTTTATGATAATATCTGGTCTGTTACAATTTTATCTGGGGAATTGTTCATGTCACTTTTGCTGGTTGATACAAAATTATTATTATTGTTATTATTATTAATGATAGCCTTTTATTGTTATTAACAATAAAAAGTATTAACTGTGTGTTTGTAGACAAACATGTCAGCCAGTTGCACACAGTAAGGTCCTATAACATCCTGGGCAGGGTGAAATGTTTGGAAAGTTTCCTTACTCCACACGCTTCTGTTTACCAGCAGTAAGTAAGTAACTCGGCTGTTAGTCGATTGGCGGAGATAATAATCCTTAAAAAAAAAAATTCAAAATAATTTGGTCACTCAATCCACGACTGTTTGTGGGACGCTCCTGTGCACAATTGGCTGCCGCGTTTCACCACAAATATACAGTGAATTCACTTTACAGTATATTCCGTGAAGCGCTTTGAGATGTCTCGAAGATGTGCGCTATATCAAATGCAAGAATTATTACTATAACAGCTTAGAGCTTGATGACCAATTTATTCCATACTTAATTTAAATAGTATCATGGGTACTTTAACATCCACCTGAACAGGCAGACGGGAGCTCAGCTTAATATCTAATACAAAAATGCAGTGTGCCCCCAACGTCAACCTGGACTGTGAGCTCCAAAGTCATGGTGTGTATGAACCCACAAACCCTCTGACTCAGAGGCAACAGGACTACTGATTGAACCAGACTGATCAGGCTGAGCGTTGGGGGCTCACAACACATTATTGTGGAGGTACGGGAAAAGGGGTTTGAGTTTGTCTTCTACAGAGGGGTTGAAGGAAAGAGAAGCGAAGAGCATGGCAGGCAGAAACGCTGAGATAGGCAATGATGGAGCTGATATGTCCACATGTTGTTCGGATCTGGAATGCACGGCCTGAAAGGGTGGTGGAAGCAGATTCGACAACAGCTTTTAAGAGAGAATTGGAAAGATATTTTGGGAGGACAAATTTGCAAGGCTGTGGGGAGAGTGGGATTAATTTGGATAGCTCTTTCAAAGAGCCAGTACGGGCACTATGGGCTGAATGGCCTCCTTCTGTGCTGTATAATTCTGTGAGTCTATGTGTAGAGACTCCTGGGGGAGGGAGGAGGAGAATGTATAGGGCATCCTGGTCAAAGGAGTGTGGTAAACCATGTGCAAACATGCATGTGCAAAACAGGTGCCAAGTTGTGAATGAGGAGAGGAAATTCTCACAGTCTGTAGGTTTTCCGACATGATGGGAGCCCAGGATTTTTGATAGGTCAGAACTTCAGCTGTTTAACATGGACACAGAGCTGAGCAATGTCAGCCGTTACAGTATTAATGTGGGTGTGTGTCTCAAACCTTGTGTATCTGTCTATTAGATTGTGCGTATCTGTCTATCAAAATCCACATATCTACAATATATGCTGTGTATCTCTCTATCTCACTGAGCAAACTGTCCAGTGAATCTTGTATTTTTCTTCCTGCTCATTATGGATTTATCTGTGTCGAACCATCGTCATTTTTATCCATCTGCCTGTGCCTACGCTGTGAGTATAGTGTTGAGTTCCATAGCTCAGCTCAGCTCACAAGCAAGAGGACCCAAGTTCAGTTACCAGGCGGGGCAAAACCTTAGGCAAGTTTCCTTACTCCACACGCCTCTGTTTACCTAATAGTAAGCAGCAACCAACCCAATTGTTAGCTGATGGGTAGATTGCTTTTCCCGGGGTAATAATCCCTTAAAAATGTATATAGTTTGGTCACTCAATCCCCAGCTGTTTGTGGGACACTGCTATGAGCAATTGGCTGTTGCGTTTTGCCCACAAAATGTACAGTCCATTAATTTTACAGTATATTCTGTGAAGCCCTTTGAGACGTCTCAATGATGTGATCAGGGGCTCTATCAAATGCAAGGATTATTAATATTATTATCAGCTCTTTGCCTTAACTTAACATCCTTCCAGTGAGATGTTAGTCCTAGCTCTCATCTACCTGCTCTTTCGGTGGACGATAAAGATCCTATCAGAAAAGAGAAGGGAGTTTCTCTCTCGAAGTCCTTGCCAACAAATCCCCCAGAAAAAATTGGTCATTCACTTCATGGCTGTTTATGGGGACTTGTCCTGTGCAAAACAGCTGCTTTGTTTGCCTCCAACCACAGTCACAGCATGTGACAGTAATTAAGCTGTGAAGTGCTTTGATATGATAAATCAGTATAAAAATCATCTTGCGTCTTTATAATTAACTGTTTGTTTCAGAGTGTGAATAGCTATCTATTTTTCTGTTTTATGGCTTATCTTTATATCCTTCTGACTATATGTGTGTGTGTGTGTGAATCTCTCTTTGCAACTCTCTCTATGTAAATCTCTCCGAATCTCTCTCTGCATCTCTTCTCTGTGCATTTCTCTCTCTTGGTATCTCTCTTTCACAATCTCTCTCTCTCTCTGCATATCTCTCTCTCTCTCTCTCTGTACATCTCTGCAGTAATATTTGCTGACTATGAGAAACACATTCCAGGGATGGCTTAAGTAAGGTGAAATTACACAAGAGATACAGGAGATAGAAAATGAGTCATTGAAAGATATTGATGGTACTCAGCCTCCGAGGTTCAATTGGAGTCAATAAGTTAGAAGAAGAATGACCAGATATATCTTTTTTTTTAATCTCCAGGTTTGGCCGTTCACCAGATCATAACCATTACCGTGTCCCTCATCATGGTGGTCGCTGCCTTGATAACAACCCTGGTGTTAAAAAACTGGTAAGTCTGTTTGTGAGACTCTTGGTCTGTAACAGTTAGCAGTGAAGAGTCTAGTGATAATCCAGTCTCTAGGTTGAAATATATCATGTTTCAAAATGTGGTCTTAGTTGGTCAGACAGCTTCGTCTCAGAATTTTAAGACATTTATGTCGTAGATTCTTGAATTCGCATTTGGAAGCCAATCCCTTAAGAACTGTGGAGAAATGGCTTCTTTGTTAAGGCTGAATTCTGGGATAACTGAAGTTGTAAAGCAAATTGGTCTCACAGGCTGAGACTAGAGACTAGAATTTTGAGCCTCTCATGCGGTATGTCTGAAGTGTGTGATAGAATCTGTAAAGAAACATTTTCCATCTATTCTTAAAGTCTGGCCATGAGTGTGACACCTGCCCCCCACCCACTACTCCCTCCGTCACCATCCCCACACCAACCCCACTGCTCCCTCACTGCCCCCCCTCCCTTCACACCGCCCCCCCCACCCCTCCACTCCAGCACAATGGTTGAGTCTGAGTATTTCAGTGTCAATATTGTTGCTGTCCATTATTGCTGGCAGTGTGTGAGGGGCTCTCCAGTTGACTTGAGCTGGGATATCCCACCAAGACCAAGACGTTGGATCGAAGATCTGAAAAGAGTGTCGCAAACGCTTAGCGGAAATCCAACTGACCCCAAACATCAGACCCAACCATTCTCCTGAAGCTGGTGGGGGTGGGGTGTAGGATTAATTCACACCAATAGCCATCTCTTTAGGAATAGTTGGAAAACTCTGATGTATCATTAACATAGCACATGAAATGTGTTAAGAAACATTGCATTTTTCACGTTTGCCCATATCATCGTCCTGGCTATCCCATTCTCTTTGTAAAGGAGGGAGGAGAATTGGGAATGGAGGATTCAGCTTCTCCCAAGGTGTCCTGTTCAGTCAGAACATGAAAGGGGGGTGGAAGCAGATTTGATAATAGCTTTCCAAAGGGAATTAGATAGGTACTTAAAAAGGAAAAATATGCAGGGCTTTGGGATAAGAGCGGGGGAGTGGGACTAGTTGGTGGCTCTCTCAAAGAGCCAGCACAGGCACGATGGGCCAAATGGCCTCCTTTTGTGCTGTAAGATTCTATGATTCTATGATATTTCCAGTGAGAGTTAAGCCACAGACCTATTTTTGTGTCATTATCAAGTTTATCACTGAGGGGGGGGGTATTTTTCACACAGCTGCTCAGCTTAACAAGTTGGGGGAACTGAGGGAGGGAGAGAGTGAAGGAAATGCAGAAACAGGTTTGATGTTGGAATTGTCACATTGAATCGAAGAAACAGTGGGTTTTCATTACCAGAATAATCAACTGAATTTGGGATATGAACAGATTTTCCCCTTTGCCTCCCATTCATTACCCACCCCCCACCACCCCCAACCTCAGGACAATCGGTCAATGTGATGGGACGAATTTAGCATCGACTATTGTTTGGTTTGATCGCTGGTGTTCATCTGGATTTCGGCTCAAGCCAATTGAATCCCGGGAAGCTGGGGCCAAACATCAGCTTCTGGCTTGGGATTGGTGCAGAGCTGTCGGGAGTTGGGTAGAAGCAACCCCACAGGTGGAGTGTGGAGGGGATAGACAAAGTCATCACTGAGGACGAGGGGAATCTGTCTTTGAGTGGGGTTGTTGACTGCTTCAAGTTTCCAATGAGAGGTTCACCACCTTTGATTCCTTACTAACAAAATCTCACTGGAATCAGGGGAACATAGGAACAGGAGGAAGCCATTCACTCTTATAGAATGTTTCACCATTCCATAAGATCATGGCTGATCTGAAACTCAACTCCAATTACCCGCCCTTGTCCCTTGATACCCTGACATACCACCTATCTATCTACCTAAGTCTTGTAAATGTGAATGCATCCAGCATCCACGCCTTTTGGGGGAGAGAGAGTTCCAGATTTCCACTGCCCTTTGGGTGAAAAACTGCCTCCTGATTTCACCTGATTTCGGCCACAGATTGCACTCAGCAACGGGAGTGTAGCTCACAAACTAGCAGTAATCGTCCAGGTCAAAATCGGGACGTCTGCCCTATCCAGGAGCTGCTGATAAGCCAAACTGGCAGGTTTGTCATCAATGGTGCCCTGGAGACTAGGGGTTAGCCTAAACCTAACCCAAACTCCACACCCAGACCACAGCAAAGGCATGACTTAATTATTGCGTTGCCAGGAGACAGCTCAACCCCAGAGTCTGTTTCCTCAGGGCTGTTGACCACCCACATTTCACTCTAGATAATGCCACGTTGGGCAAAACAAAAAGGTACCTTTATTTCCCAATTTTGTAGCAGGTCTTATTCATACCAATATAGCATAGACCGGAGCCATGGGCAGGTTTTAAGAAAGAGTTTTGAACACACTGAGATAGAGAGAGAGAGAGAGAGAGAGATATCTTGAGACATTTGGAGAACGGAGAGCTGGGGGAGAGTTCCCACTCTTTTATTGCTGTTGGACAGGGACAAGTGGATGTCTCAATGACGTGATCAGTGCAAGGATTATTATTGTTGTATATTGGCTAAGAGCAAGGCTGAAAGTCGATCAATGGTGGGGTGAAGGATTTGTGTAGAGAGGAAGGAGCGGATAGGGAAGTGGGTGGGAATGGATTGTAGAGGTAGGACAGAGGCCAGGGACATATTGGCTAAAGGTACCAAACCATTCACTCCCTGGAGAGCACAGAAAGTATTCCTCAGGCCCTGTTCCCACCTCCTCTCCCTTCTCCTATTGCTGTGTCTTTCTTTTGAATAGGGGAAATTCTATTGTACAAAAAAAAACAGGAAGTTGGGAAAGGTTTAAGTCAAAATCAGATTGAGAATTTCCTTCGGAGATTTCCTTTACCTTTTCTCAAACTCTTTCTCCTTTGTTTTCCTCCTGGTGGGGTCTTCCCTTCCCACGATGACCTCACAGCCTAGAGCACAGGTGAGCAATTCTGCCGTGACTGTGCGTCAGCCCTGTTTCTGTATCTTTGTTGTATGTTAAATAATGACTCTGTTGCACACTCGTCGAGGTTAACAGTCAATGCACTAACACCCCGCCCGGGAACCGGGGGTCACCTCCCCTTTCATCCCACTGCGTCGCCCACTCCTGCTGGAGCTTTGGTTCAGTCCAACCCTGTTAGAGCTGAGTCTGATTATAGCGCGGGTAGGAAGTGCAGTACAGTTGCCACTTCCTGCATGACCTGATGACTCGGAAGCGGAACTGGTGGCCATTTTTATTTTGCAGATCCCATTATAACTCAGGGTCTGAATATATGTTCCCCCATGTCCCCCCTGGTTTCAGGTCTTGACTTTCCCATAACTTCAGCTCGAGTGTTGGTCCCAAAAGTGTTCGATTTGAGCGTAAGAAACTACGTTACAGGTTTACCTCAGCCAGTATCCTGTAACACACCGCTCACTCACTCGCTGTGTCCCAGCTCAGATACATGTGCTGTTCTCCTTCACTCGCTTGGCCTGAAGCAGTGATCTGTGGCCTGAACAATTGGGCTGAATTCCCGGCCAGGCAGGAGTTCAGATCTTACACCAGCCGGTAAATATCAACTGAAATCACACTGTTTCTTAACAGATTTGATGAACCCAGGTATCAAATGTGCAATTAATGTAGATTTCTCCCATAAGCATTTTCAGGCCAGGTAGAAGCCAATCCGAGCTGCTGAAACTTGTGTTTCTGGCGGGTGGGGAGGGTTCACTAGGCTTCAGGATTCGTGACCCTTTCGATTAACAATGAGAAGAATGAGGCCAACACACTGATCTATCACCTCCGGGTCCCTGGGAGGAATCTATCCCAGATTGATCGGATGAAAGTCTGTTGAGTCCAAGCGTTCAATGTGCAAATACGTTAAACTGCTCAATGTGGCAAAATTCACTCAAGTTAGCCATGGTGTTGCGTTGCGTGCGTGGGAAATAAGAAACGTCACATTAATGTTACACTGATCCAAAGGGGGACATTCTCCCAGGTCAGATACTTAGTGATTTAGTGACACCCACATCTCCACTTTGTGGTTTGACAGCTAATGATTGCAGGATGTTGGAAGTGAGGGACGAGCAGTAATCAGAGAAACAGAGGATGGAGACAGGAGAATGATCACATTGAATTCGCTCTGGAATGTCCCATTTTCCCATCTGTTCCTAGAGATGGAAATCATCAAATGGACCCCTTCCCCTGTCCACCAAAAAAAAAACTTTGACACAATGGTTTGGGCTTTGGACCAAACTATGGTTCTGAAATCTTTAAGTGTTTTTGTTCCCACAGACAGACTTTAGGAAATGGTGGAAAATACAATGTTTCATAACAGATTCAATGTGACAATTACCATGTTGGATTTGTTACAGAAATGTCGCACTTTCCACCCCATTAAATGCTGCGATGCAGTTTCAGCCCCTGGGGGGACAAACCCTGATGAATGAGTGACAGTTAAACTGAGACATTGGTTTGATGTTAAACAGTGAAAGGATGCGGTTTGAGAAGAGAAATGTAGTTCCTGCTAGTAACCAGCGGCATGGCTCTGAGCTTCACCTCACTAACTGGGTCGGACAGAAAGCTAGGGCAAGCGACTTGAGGTTCACAAGGTAGATAACAAGAGACTTCAGATGAAGAAGGTCCTTTGGCCTATTTTATCTCATGCCTCCAGAACACTCACCCTACCATTCTCCCATCATGTCATCAAGCTGTTTCTTACACAGATTTGCATAGATTGTACAGCATGGACAGAGGACATACGGCCCAACTAATCTGTACCGCTGTTTATACTCCACGCGAGTCTCCACTAACCCCTTACTCCCTCCTTATATCCTTGCATTCCCTTCTCTTATTATTTAAATAAAATGATTTGCTTAATTTTATTAAGAAAGACATATATATATACCTACCTGTTACCTAATAATATATTAAGCAGAAATATTATCTGTTATCTAGCTTCCTCTTAAATAAGTCCAGTATTCTGGTCTGAACCATCTTTCCTGGTAGAATGTTCCTATTGTTATTTCTCATCCGTGTAAAGAAATATTTCCAGCTGTGTGTCCTGAAATTTCACACCTCGAAACCTGTGTCCTCTTGTTCTGTTGCCTTGGGGGTAGGGTATCTGAAAGTATTCCTTTGACCGTGCCTTCCATCACCCTCCTACCCCCACTCTCCCTACCCTCCACCCCTCCTGATCCCAATCCCCAGCTCGGGTGCAAATCCCTGACTGCCCAGCGCTTTGGGACATCCTCCCGACAAGAAAGGTGCTGTGCAAATGTAATTTGTTGTTGATTGTTGTTGTTCTTACTCTGACAGATAATGTAGAACATTTATATTTAAATTCACAAATGTATACATTTACAAATGATATAGCAAAGGTAGTATTTTAGAGAAGCATTTTATAGGCAGTGCAGAGATTTCCATCTCATTGTTCAGACCTACATGTCAACCGAGAGGTGAGATGCCAATGGGAGGCAGGTGTGCTCTTTCCTGCTGTATGTTATGGGGTTAACAATGGGGTGGGATTTGCGATGTTCCACTTATGGATTCCTATGGATCTGCAGAAATGCCGCTCTGCCAGTAGATGGTGGAACGGATTCCCAATGGTTCCCCTTCCATCCAGTTCATAGAATCATAGAATTATACAGCACAGAAGGAGGCCATTCGGCCCATTGTGTCTGTGCTGCCTCTTTAAAAAGAGCCATCCAAATCACCACTTCCCCCCTCTCTCTCCATAGCCCTGCAAACTTGACCTCCCTACATAAAATCTCTTAAAAGTTGTTATCGAATCGGCTTCCACGTCCCTTTAGGGCAATGCATTCCAGATCTGAACAACTCACTGTGTGAAAACATTTCTCCTTGCCTCCCCTGTGTTTCTTTTAACAAATGTTTTAAATCGGTGCCCTCGGGTTACCAACCCACCCGCCCAGTGAAATGGAAAGGAGCCCCCGCTAATTTTGCATGAGTCAGATTCCTTATTAAGAAATATGGCAAATTACCGCAAATTTCACCTACCATGACTCTACTAATCTGACTCACCACCAAAGGAGAGTCGTTTAGACACAAAGATGATTTTGAAGCTAAACCATGAATATTAAACTCCAACAAAGAATGAATCCCAATGAATTCAGACATAGAGAATGTTTATAGCTTCTTATCACATCAAAGTGTTTTCCAGTAATTACTGTCGTGCAGTGATTTTTTTTGTAGGTAATCGCGGAAACCATTATGTGCACAGCCTACGGTCACACACACAGCTCCATGGTGAATGACCGATTAATCTGCAGGATTGTTGGCCAGGATTCCAGGAGAAACTCCCTTCTCCATTGTAGGAATTTTAACAGGTGCCTAAGGACAAGGCAGAGGAGGGCCCCGTTTAAGTGTCCCATCCAAAGGACGGTGCATTTGACAACGTAGTGCTCCAGGATACACTCGAGCGTCAGGCTACACTGTGAGCTCGAGGCCCTGGTGTGGGGTCTTGACATCACAACTTTCTGATCTCAGAGGGAGGAGGGTATCACCCTCATTGCTTTGTGAGGGTGGGGTGGGGGAGGCAGTGGCTGTCAGTAAAGGGGGGGAGAGGGGAGGGGGAGAGAGGAGGGGGAGAGGGGAGGGGGAGAGCTCTCTTCTTGTCGCTGAAGTCAGCAGATGTGTTTATTTCACACAGTTGTGCACAAAACGGGAACCGGCGGCGAAATAACCATCAGAGGAAGATCAACCACCAGGAGGAGAGCTGCCAGAACCTGACGGATTTCACCGCGACCCGAGTGCCCAGTAACATGGACATATTCACGGCCTACAACGAGACTCTGCAGTGTTCTCACGAGTGCGTGCGAGCTTCCATGCCTGTCTACGCGGACCAAGGGCTGCACCAGACTGTGTACAAAACCACTTTCAACGGAAATCGGTAAGGCAGGTGTGGTCTCCAGAGCAAATTGGTTACCGATCTATTCTCTCTCTGTGTTATACACGTACTTGTTTGGATCCGAACAGTACAAATCTCAGACTCGTAGCCCGTGCCGGGGATCGGACGTTGGCGTTGGGCTTTGACCCCCAATGAGATATTGAAGCCACAGAAGTTCCTACTGAGCTATTCCCTGCAGGCAGCGATGCCCAGCAAACGAGTAGCGTTTTAAGTTAGGCAGCAGGGCATTGTGTCCAGTTTTGGGGCTCCTAATTACAGGAAGGATGTAACAGCAATGGAAAAGGTTCCAGCATCGATTCACTTAAATGTCTCCAGGGGAAAGGGGCCTTCAGTTACAAAGAGGGACTTGAGAAGCTGGGCCAATTTTGACTGGTGCTGAGAGGTTAAGAGAAGATAAAGATCAAGATCTGGTGGATTATGCAGGGTTAGACAGGATAAACAGTGATAAATTTCCTCTAAACCGAAGTAAAAAATGTTACAGATGCTGGAAATCTGAAATAAAAGCAGAAGTAGCCACGGGCACTCAGCTGGTCAGGCAGCATCTATGGAGAGAGGAAAGTAAGTTAACATTTCAGGTGTTAACTTTCCTCTGGTGGGTGAATCTTTCACAGGAAGTCACGCATTTAGGATGATCATTGAAGGCACGCAGTTAGGATGATGATAAAAAAAGAATTGAAGTGGAGGGAGGTTAGAAAAGTGGCTTCACTACTTTGTTGAATGATGAAATCCATTTAGCAACTTCCTTGCTGCCGTTTCTCGCCAGCTTTCCCTGTCTCAATGGCTGTAGGCTCCAAAGCAATCTCCGTAGCCCTTGTACACCACTACTGAGCTGGCATTTGTACTGACTGGTGTTTGTAGTCTAAACCTCTTAGGGTGTGGGCTCTTCCTGGCTGGCAAGTTGTAACCGTCACATTGCAAGTTGATGTGTGTTTTTTTGTTGGGTGACGTGGCTTTTTTTTTGCTCTGCACAACGGCCCCTCTCAGGGCAGGTCAGGATGTCTTATCAGTTGTTATTCATTCATTCACACAAGCAGCCTATCATCACACCGGAATAACATGGCAAGAGGGTTTGAGGAAATTATCAAAGGTCGGTATAGGCAACTGCACCAAAGCAACATTTCTCTCTCCCTCTCCCCTGCACCCCCCCACCCCCACACCCTCACATTTGGCATAATAGTTTGGTCAGAAAGTTTGCTCCTGATTGCAGGAAGCAACTAGAAAAGTGGCTTCACTCAGCCCGTGACGTGAGGTGCTCAAAACACAACGTCTCACTATGACTGTTCAAGTTGGCCTCCCAACCATTCTGAACGAGGCTTCAGATTCAACCATTGTGCCAAAGCTGTGGGGGTGGGGGGTGGGTTGGGGGAGTGGAAAGACTCAACTGAAATTCTGCCATTTCTTAACAGATTCAATGTGATAATTAACGCAATAAAAAACGCTTGAACCCATAGTACCAGAAACTCAGAGGAGCTTTCTGATTTGGGTTGAGCACAAAATGCTTTCAACCTTCTCCAAATCTGTATGCAAACAGTGGAGCTGTGCTCAGCACACAGAGCACACGGCACAATTCCGCATGAGCCCAAATTTTAAGAAGCAATAATCTACTTTTCCCCTGAGAGACGGTACTGTGTATATCTCTGGAGTATTGTGTTCAGTTCTGGTCACTGCAAACAGAAGGAGCTGCCCCAGGCTCGAGATGCAACAATAAATGACATTTACACAGCAACTTTCATGTCGGGAGGATGACTCAAGGCACTGGACAGTCAGGGTGGGGTTTGGGAACAGGAGGGTGGGGAGCAAGGAGGGTAGGAGGGTGATTGGAGGTGAGGTCGAAGAGGATGGTCTTCAGATGGGCCTTGAAGAAGAAAGGGAAAGGAAGACACAGTGTGGTGGAGAGCAGCGAGGATGGAGTGTGAGGAGGGACGGGAGCTCAGCTTGAGGAAAGACTGGATATGATGGGTCTCTTCTTGTAAAGAGACGTCTCTGAGCAATCTTTGTAGAGGTCTATAAGTATATAACTAAAAGAGTCCATCTAGAATAATACTTTCAGATACACCAAAGCAGAAGGACAAGAGGGGACAGGTTCAGGGGTGTGAAGTGCAAGTTCAAGACAGACGCCAGGAAATATTTCTTTACAAAGAGGTTATAACAGCTTAGTGAAGAGAGTAAAATAACATAGTATCACGAGCTGAACCACTGCAGATAATGATCTGAGTGAAAAGTATACAAAGATTGTTCCATCCCTGAAAAGCCTGTCTCATGTTTTCCATCCCGTTAGTCTGTCAGCTTGGTATTGAGTAATATATCAAGCTGAATAATATATCAGTGAAACGTGTTAGTGACGATATCGAAGCTGGGGAGGTAAGTGGAGTCTCTCTGGGGCTGAACTTGCTGTGAAAAGACACTTCTGACAAAGATAGACAAATTGCCCATAGAGATGCAGACGCGTTCTCAACAGCACAAACCATGTCCCAAAACAGGTAGCATTATCATCGCTGTTGCCACGCATTTATTTAAATGAAGATTTGTACAGAGCAGTGGCTGGCATTTATTGCACCCAGGTCCAGGCAGCGATGGTACTGAGAGATAAGGCCCTGCTATCTTATCCTTTACGATGACTTACGATCTAAGAGAAGGCAGGAGCGGTGACCTTAAAATCCTTGACTGCGCTACAGTTGGGGGCTTTGGAGTCTAATCAGGTAAATGCTTGCCTCAGTCTGCAAACTCTTGATGTATCAGGGCACAGAGAAGGGCTCACTAATTAACAATAGCAAACCGAGCACCTGACGTTAGCGAGATTCCTATGCAGGATTTATGAGCCTCGCATCCCGAAGGAGTTTTAGCTTTGACACTGGTTAACTGATAAATCTTCCACATTCGTAAGATCTGTTGTTGTAGCATCAACATGTTCCATCGCACACATAAGCACCTCCCAAATCTTAAAGATGTCAAGTCACACAGTACAGCGCAATATCTTTGCCACTGTCTTAAAATTTCAGGTGGAGCAAAGCTTTGGAGAATTCTTCAATTCCATTCTTAATCTGGAAGCCAGTTTCGTTTTAAGTACTGCGGAAAATTGCCTTCTCAATAAAGCCTGGTTATATAGGTTCCTGTCAGTCTGCCCCATCTTAAATTTGATGTGAATGGACTTGAGGCTAAGATTAGGTGGAATTCATCGCCCTGGGCTATTTACATCCATCAGATGATGGTTTGAAAGCCAAGAACAGAGGATTATGGTAATGAGGGTAGGTTTAGAAAATTGGGGATCTCAAAGGAGCAGAGAAGGTTAAAAAAAATCTGACAGACACCATCTTATTATTTTTGCTAACAAAGTATACAGCCACTTTGCAGTATATTCTGTAAAGCATTTTGAGATGTCTCAACGACATGATAAGGCATTATATCAATTGCAAGGATTATTATTATTATTGAAAGGGTTGAGAATGATATAATAATAATCCTTGCATTTGATTTAGCACTTTTCACGTCTTCTAGCCGTCTCAAAGCGCTTCACAGAGTATACTGCAAAGTGAATTCACTGTATATTTGTGGGAGAAGGTGACCAAGAAAAGATTATTCCCTCTGGCTGATGAATTGGTGATGGTCTGGAGGGTGTGGATTTGAGCTCACGTTTAGCGCAGGAAGAGCTAAAGAGGAAAGATTGTCTTCATGAAGAGTGTTATTGGAACATGAAATATTTTGGCACAAGCAGCTATTGAAACTCAGATCACTGAGTAAGTGTCAGAAGAAAAATAGTGTGAAAGAGTATGAAGCGAGAGTAGGAAATTGAAATCAGAGTAGAGATCTCCAGTGGGGCAGTAGGCACAGCATAGACAAGGTAGCATTGTGGTGTGTGGGGGGAGCAACAACAACTTGCATTTATATAGTGCCCCTTACACAGGATAGTGTCCCGTAGCACTTGAATGGGGTTGGGCAAGGGAATGGGATTGGAGTAGAGAGTAGAGAGCACCAGTGGGAAGTTGAGTAGCAACTGCAGCAGCAAGAATTCAACTGGCCAAAAGGCCTTGCTGTGTGCTGTGTTATCACAAATCGTTAACATTTTTGAGTTGTGCAACATTCTGAACCGTGACATCAACTGCTTTTGATGCAGAACATTGGAAAAAGCCACGTCACCCATCACTGGATGTTGCAGCCAGCCATCACAAAGCCTTCCAGCACTGGCTATCTGGCTGGCTATGTGTGTCTTCCTCTCAGTATACAAATGCACGTTTCGCTGCACCTGTCTGAGCATGACAGTTTTCAGGTGTCTGTCAAAGGGATGTCCGTTTGCTTTTCAAGCTGGGTGTCTGTCGGTTCTGTCTTCTGTGAGTTCATAAGCAGCATAGATTGTTCTTTTGGAAGCCTTGTTGTTTCATTTGAAGCTTTGATCTGACTGTGGGGCAAACTGACTGGCTGGAATAGTGTAGCATATAGCCTCAAAGTCCTATAAACACTTAATTCATTGGAATATTGGGGGTGAATTTGGAACAAGGAGGGAATAAAAGGCAGGAGAAAAACTCTATATTTCCTTGAAATAGCAATGGAGAGATGGAGAAGGCAAAGGACATCAGTTCATGACCATTCTAATCTCAAGGCAGAAGGGACCTAAATTGCTAGCTTAACCACTAAGGGGATGGTGATCTGGAAATAATGAAATTAACAAACATATTAATGCAGAATGTTTGTTAACCAGCAGCCAGATAGTAATGTCAAACATGTACCTGTGTTGTACCAACCTGCTATAGAACAAGTACAAATTTACAAGTAATTCTGCCCCTCTGGCAACCTTTTGCCTTCAGCTAGTCATCGTTGTGTGACCAGAAACTATCAGAGAAAGGATTCACACTCTGTTCTTTCCAAATTAATCGTTGGTTTTGATATATTTTGGCTACAAGCCAAGATTCACTTGGAGCAACACTCAGCAGTAGATGTGCTGTTTTGCTCTGTAATTCTTTGGGCTGCACTGATGTGTTCAGTGAACG